TAGCATTCAGGAATTCATCATCATTAAAACAGTACTTATATTGACCGTTTTGCTTATTAAATTGCTTAGACCATTTTTGCATTGGAAGCGTTTTAGAAACCATCATAAGCTATACTTAATTTTATTATTGTAACTTATCACTGTTGATACATTTCACGTTTGTATAGTGGAAGTAGAGTGAGAACTACAGAGTTGTAGTGTGAGTGACCTGTTTTGTGGCTAAATTCTCTCCCAGTAGTTGTTAAGGTTCCCACACCCTTCGGACGTCACCGACAGCCAACATGACCGCTAAATGGTTCCTGCTGTTCTTCTTCGCCATCTGCGCTGCAGGTAAGATCTCCCCTCATTCCCACAACAAACTACACTTTCTCCACAAGGTGGTATGATAACCTTTTCCATGTTTTTGCTTCTTGCCTCAGATACAATTAACAAACGTGAAATAAACTATAAGGTAAGACAGTAACTTCTTTGATCTAACCTGCATGAATGTGTTATACATCCTATCCTCAACAAAACAAACGATTCTCTCTTATTGAAGATTTTATCTACGTAATTGAAGAGAATGTTACTCCACCCCGCGGTTTAACTCTCAAGAGACCTGCAGTCACTAAGAAGTGTAACTGGTGACTGATAACGCCAGCGTACCACCAGCAGACACACATTGCCAATCACTGTCTACCTGTATTTACAGCCTCCCTGTGAAATACTCACAGGCCTCGTCTATTGTCCTACACATGCGGTCCCAGTGTGTGGCACTGATGGGAAAACCTATAACAACATGTGTGATCTCTGTAACTACATGGCGTGAGTAACTGCCGTCCCACTCTTACAGGCAGGGTGCAAATCCCCCATTCCATCACAATGCTACATGAGTTCCAGCAGAAATTCACTCATTGTTAGGTACAGATGTTGAACTGACATTTCACTGAAAGAGACTTTGGTTTCTTTGTCTAGGCGGACCAAAGAAAACATCTTGGTTACGAAAAGAGGGAAGTGCTGAATGACAGAAATAGCTCACGTCGAGACTCTCGTTTGAATAACATGATCGTCTAACCCTCCTCATTCTATCTACTAATTAAAAACTTCTTTGGCATTTGATTACTGTCAATATTTGTTGTCGTTTTGGATTCTTATACTGTCACATTAATAGAATAGAACAATAAACACACAATATAGCAGCTAAGTCCAAGCCACACCCAAACCTATTGAATGCCCCAAATCCGTAACTCTGGCCTGCCTCCGCCCCCACGCACCCCCCCTCCCTTGCCACACCCTCACACATTAAATGGGACAGTGAATGTGCAAGAACCACAAGGGAAACAGATTAGCAAGAATATTACCTTAAACAAATCAATTTGCAACAAATAAACAAATAATATGAAAGCTGCATTACATACATATGTAACAGTAGTAATATAGACACCTTGACTGGGCCTATTTAGTTTTCCAGGAGATCAGTCAGTGTACTAATGTGTCCCAAGAAGCGGTTCCACAGTTTTGTGTTTTATGGGAGCCTTTTAGCAATTAAAGGTAACATTATTGTAATAAACAGGCAAAAGCTCACTTTTATGAAAATTTAATTTGTACCCTGCAGAACGGCCAGGAGAGAGGTGGTAGGATTGGATATAAACAGATGGAAGTTACCTGCATTAAGTCAGGATTTAAGAGAATTGCCAAAAGGGGTGATGCCTTTCAAACCTTCCGTACTGAGAAGCCAAACAGTGAGGGACTGAAAAGCAAGGGGAGATAGTAGGGGACGAGGCGGACTGGCCTGACATGTGCCATGGTAATGCTGGAAAGGGGCACAATGAATGCCATAGGCGTGAAGTGACACTACTGTGGGGGTGTAAAGTAATCAAATCCGTAATGAGTTGGAGCTTAAGCAAACTTTTTATAGAGCAAAAAAGAAATACTTTCCATTCATTATTTTTTTTCAGAATTCAGGGACACAACAACTTCAAGAGAGTCAGAACTGGGGGGAGGGGCTCATT